TTTTTTCGGGGGGAGGCCCTTTTTCCAGTTTAGAGCAATAGCCTCTCCAAATGTCTGTGCAAGTCCCTGCACACACCTATATATATACAGTATATATACACACACACACACACACACACACACACACACACACACACACACACACACACACACACACACACACACACACACACACACACACACACTGGAAGTTTCTGAGAGAAATTAGGAATGTGTCACTTCTCCAAGTTTCAGAGTAAAGCAGGGTTTTGTCTGCAGGGGGTGACACCTGATGTCCCGAATGCTTTAATAACAGGGTTTGAATGTAGGTGTGTTGCTGACAACCTTTTAACCTGTTTTGTAATTACAGAGTTGCACAATACAAAAGCAAGCAATGACGGACCCGTAGATGTGCCTCTATGTCTAATTTTTATAATGGACCGGATAACTCTTACTGTCAGCGTCCCCCTCAAACCAAAATGCAGATTTTGTTCCCCGTAAAATGTTGTGTGATGCCAGAAAACAAGATTTCTGTTCCTCAGAAACGGTATAATTACTCTGAGTATCAAACAGAGCGTCAGACGACAGGATTCTTTAATGTCAGATGCAGATAAGCTACAGTGTAGAAATGGCAATTTAAAATCTTCTGACCCGAGCTCCTCCCACAATGCAACATATATAATAAAATACAAATAAAAAATAGTGCAAGAAGTCTATATACACGTAAATAGAATATGATATGTACAAGAACAGAATGTGACATTTAAATATTGTACGTTAAGATAAAATTAAATACGTTTTTTTACGGTGATAAATATTTAGATAAATAAGTAGATTGCAAGATGCAAACAGATGAATGTTTATGGATGTTCTTTAAAGAGTTCTTGTGTTTAGCAGTCTTATGGCCTGTGAGATGAAACTGTCTCTGAGTCTGTTGTTGTTTACGTCCGCGCCGCCATCTTTTATACGAGCGTCATGTTCTCAAGATAATCTATATACCTTATAAACAAGATCAGAGACACATTACTAATACTATACATTTTCTAGAAACACCCCTGAAATGTGTCTGCACTGTCGTTGTTGGTATTGTGGTCATCCACTCGAGACAGTGTTAAAAATGTTATTTAGTTATAATTAAAGTTGTGGTTGTTGTCGTCGGCGGACCTTACAATTAGTCAATGCTGTGCTGTTTGATAAGGAACACAGAAAGTGATGCACATTGTTCCTACTTTCCCATGAACTCTGAATGAATATATAAAATGATCACAGTTATAAATCCTCAGGGCTTCTGAACATCAGTGTTTTTATGTATTGCCTTGTATTGGTGTGCTTTGGTTTGACACGCTGTGATGAAGACGGACAGCACTGTGCAGGATTTAGATTTGTGGCTGTCATTTATTTCCCAGCATTTTAAAAGACAATCTCTCTGACCTCGGTCTCCATTTCCCCATCGTCTGTCTTTGTGTCGTTTAAAAAAGGAATATAAATATTTCCCATGACTCTTTGTTCCAGACTCCCAGGCCTGCACCGCGTACGACGTCGTCATCAACCAGGAATTCTTCCAGAAGTGCCAGGTGTGTGTGTGTGTGTGTGTGTGTGTCATTTACCACACTGAACCAGCAGAGGGCGCCAGAGCGCTGTAGTTATTAAATCTCACCCTACATTGTGTGTATACTGTATATTAACGTACGTGTGTGTGTGTGTGTGTGTGTGTGTGTGTGTGTGTGTGTGTGTGTGTGTGTGTGTGTGTGTGTGTGTGTGTGTGTGTGTGTGTGTGTGTGTGTGTGTGTAGTTGTTGACATGTGTTGTGTGTGTGTTCCTGCAGACTGGAAGGTGCTGAAGAACAGGAAGTTTTTGGGTTCTCTCGTCGATCAGAACATCCGGACGAAGAGTCGACCGGTGATCCAGGAGCTGCAGCCAGAGTACATTTACATTTCTCTTAATATGAAATAGTATGTATTGTGACACTGAGACATGTCTCCATGCTTTAATGTTCAAACAGCTCTGTATTGTGTATGATATATAACACACTACAGGAGTGGGAAATAGTTTCTCTCTCAATGAAGACACATCAGGAGATTCACTGTGATTTCATGATTAGTTTCAGACTCTGTTCTGTCTCCTGCAGGTTCAGCTCCACTGCTGCAGCTAAAAGGTAACCCTCCTCCTGACTCCAGAACACAGCGGTGCAGGGATGTCAAATGGGAGTTTTCCGTATTGGATTATCATTGCAGAAAATACTCTCACAGATTTTCAGTTCTTCTGTTAATGAAGAGCATTAGAGCCACACATTTGTTTTTAAAACATAATTTGTGTGTATGAGGCTCACGAGCAGAGAAAGTAGGGGATTACTTTAGTTCAATCAGGAGAGACGGTTTTGATGTAAGAAT